TAAAATTCAGAAGAGAACGTTTCGCGTGTGTACGATATTTTGGCCGGGAAAGTTGGCACTCGCGCATTGATTCCCGTCCGCCCGCACATTCTGATTAATGTGCCGTTGAGCAAATTGTCTAGAAAAACATGGGCCACCCTTACCCTTCCCTCCCTCATTACAACATGCATCGTGCCTCCCCTCCCCCGACACAGCCCCAGAAATGAAATTAATGGCCGACGATACAATTTTGAATGTATTCCTGGTGAAATTAGAAATACTGCTTTGGCTCGCTCCTGCTGTGTTACATCCCTGACCTTGCCTTTTACGGCAAACTAATCGTCTTTATCTCCACATATAAAACACTGCTGTCCACTGTCACTGTTTCATAATCATGAATTAAGTTCTATTCGGCGACTTTACAAAGTCTTTAGTGCTATTATTTAATTATGATTTCGTTTAAACTCTTTTGTACTCTGTGATCGATAAGTTTAATCAGGTACAACTATACCGTTAAAAGAAGACCCTGGTAATACGACGTGTAAAAGCACAGTTCTTGCTCTATCGCTAGATAGAATGCAACTTCCAAACAGTATAGGATCGTCATCGGTATGAGGTGCAAGTTGCCAATTGTGAGCATTGCCCGGTTATATAAACCACACAAGGCCTCCATCACTTCCCACCTTCAGTCGCGGTGCGGCCTGTTAAGCCCCTGAACGGCCGTGGGGCGGTACACTCACTCATACGAACTGGACAATTATACGCTGTGGAGAGCGTCTTTGATTGCGCCACAGGCCGCGGCAATTTTTCCGGGATTGCTCCCAATTTGTGCGGGGCGAGAGGGCAGTTTCTATGCAGCCCACGCCGCCTCACTACGTGGGCCGGCCACACATGGGCGCATTACTAGACCCGCGATATTGGACCCACGTATCCAAGCCTTTAGTTGTGTTTAGGTGCGGAATGAAGGAATCGAGAGGGATTTGTGCAAATCCACGATTAGGTGGGATCGCGGCGCCAACAGCTCGGTTTAGCATAATTGGTATACGATGACAAGGGTGAATCTCCTTTGTTTAGCGGACACTCCAGCCACCTTCCTACCCTCTTGATAACTCCATTACTTTTAAAGACTTTCTGAGGTTGGGGATTCTCAAACATTCGTATAACACTACATGATAGTCAAATAATTTGTTTATACTCAAACTAAGAGAAACCCGAGAACACCATTCCCACAGATTGTTTTAACCTGTTCTTTCATTATAAAGTAGATTTTCCTGGATGTATGTGATTTGATGCTGAGCAATATAAACTATATGTCAATGTTAACCATATATGTGAACATTTTGTAGTTCTACTGCTAAAGGAGTAGGTACATAAAAAACACATCACAATATGGTAAAGTTTGTTCTTTTCTTAACGTATTAAATGTTTATAGCAGAAAATATTCTACAACAGCATGAAAATTTTGAACAATTAAAATAATAAGGTAGGTGCCGTTAACGAGTCATATAAAAAAATGCTGGATAGTATTTGACAAATACTGGTCTCGAATCTCAGGCATGAACTTTGTGACTCCAACACGAGTTTTATTTGATAATTCAATAACAGCCGGCGGAATGTTTCAATTAGAAGGAAAGGGACAAGCAATCGGGAGGATTAACAGCAATAAATCAGACGGTGGGAGAGTGGAGAGTGTAGTGGGAGGGGTTAGAACAATAAGCGCCAGCCGGTGGTGATGTGTTTGACACATGACTGAGACAGCTGGGCAGCTACTTGGCACCCCGCCGTGCCTTGTCTTGGACATTTACCACCATAGTAGCCCATAGCAGTACCATGGGGTTGAACAGACCTGTAGTTGGATCTGACACATGGCTGAGACAGCTGGGCAGCTACTTGGCACCCCGCCGTGCCTTGTCTTGGACATTTACCACCATAGTAGCCCATAGCAGTACCATGGGGTAGAACAGAACTGTAGTGGGATCTGACACATGACTGAGACAGCTGGGCAGCTACTTGGCACCCCGCCGTGCCTTGTCTTGGACATTTACCACCATAGTAGCCCATAGCAGTACCATGGGGTAGAACAGACCTGTAGTTGGATCTGACACATGGCTGAGACAGCTGGGCAGCTACTTGGCACCCCGCCGTCCCTTGTCTTGGACAGTTACCACCATTGTAGCCCATAGCAGTACCATGGGGTAGAACAGACCTGTAGTGGGATCTGACACATGCCTGAGGCAGCTGGGCAGCTACTTGGCACCCCGCCGTGCCTTGTCTTGGACAGTTACCACCATTGTAGCCCATAGCAGTACCATGGGGTAGAACAGACCTGTAGTGGGATCTGACACATGACTAATTATTACAACTATTCAGTGGATCGATGTACAAAATGTAAATGCAACGTTGAATATTTATTAAATAAACGAAAGTAAAAGCTTCACTCGGAGGAGAAAGTAAAAGCTTCACTCGGAGGAGAGCTGAGGAGGGACTTTGAATAGCCTCACTTCGTGGTTATCGTACCACAGTAGCGACAATTAGATTAAACATGTTTGCATGCTTTGTCTAAGGGTGTTATCTCTTTGTTGTGTTAGGGCATCGAACGGTATGAATTTCAATGGTACGGATCGACGTTAGGGTGAAGTAGTGAGGGAGAGAGAGAAAGAATGAACAGGACGTCAAAACCAGCTGACAGGGGTGCGCGCTGACTCACGGCGGTGCTGTCGGAGAACCAAGTTGCTGTGACATTATATTCGGAAATGTTTAGTTACAGACAATAATTATAACGTTTCTTAAAACATTACGTTAACTGGTACATCAAAACACAGACAATAGAGTAACATTACTGTATTGTATGTGATTTGGTATATTGTATTAGTAAGTATGGTTGTAACTAATAGTTTGACTTGGTGTTGTTAAATAATTCATTCAGTTAATATTTGTATGATATTAATATGTGACTTAAGCATAAATCATTTATAGTCCTCAGATAAGTTAGTTGGATGTTATGTTTTATTTTGTAATTTGTTAACCAAGCATAATTTTTGAACATATTTAATTGAACATTTTAGTAAAATTTTAATTTTGCTGTGTCAAAAAAAAAAAACATAAATGTGCCGAACTGAGTACAACCTTAGTAAGTGTTCCCTTTCGAGATTTTCAACGACGAATGGTGATTTGGGCCTCGCCTAGATGTGAATGCGCAATATTCATATCAGAAGGCCTTGGCTCACTTTTCGGTCTGCATTCGCATTGCGTCATTGACAGCTGTCAATAATGGAAAGGCATTCTGAGCAATTTTTAGTGTAGAAGCAACAGGCGAGGTGTGATTTTATGTTCTTTAAAACAAACCCAAGTAGCACTTGGTAGATGGGAGGAATTCAGCTTTTGTCGTTGAAGTGGCGTGTTTCGTCAGTGACTACTGGGGAGGAGTTACCTGTGTTTTCCGCCCCCGCTGCCAGAGAGGGTGTAGGAAATGAACGGGAAAGATTCATCGGGTCTAATTCATCAAGGGGCGAGGGGTGAAAAAACAGTAGCGCATAGAAGACTAATATCGATTTTGCAATTAATGCAAAGTGCGATAATGGAAGCGGCTCAATAGGGGAGCGGTAATGTCCTTACGTATAATCGGCTTCGGATACCCTGCAAAACTAATACCGAATTAGCGGCTTCAGAAAAGCTGCGGAGTGACGCTCTCGCACCCGTATGGGGCGTGGAAAACATCCCTGGAGAACCTTGTATTGTATCAATACAAGTAGGAGTGGTTATACGTAATTATAACTAGGTAATTCCTACAGTACTGTGTAATAAAATCATTAATTCTGCTGTTGACACAATAATCTATTTAATTGGATTTGTTGTCAAGTGATTTTTGTAAATATCAAGTAGTAGTTGCATATTTCCTCGGACTTGTACTGCCACAGTCACGACCCGTGACGTCACCGACCTGACGGCATCCGCTCTGATGTCGGTTATCAGCCATTGTTTCCCGCCAGATTTATGCATTCCCGCGTCATATCACGGGAGGATCGCCGTCCTCGTCCCGCCTACTCTGCCTCCTCCATCATAGCTCTCCTCACTCCGCACTCCTCACTGCCCGATACCACGACCAGTATACAGTATATTGAACACCAGTATCCTACAACGTACAGTAACAAGGCGATCGTCACGATTAAATAATAGTTAAACTTTCCCCCAACACCAAGTGGTCAAGACGTATTATTACAGTTGCGCCCTCCGAGTGTCATAGTGTTGTATTATTTACAGCAACCGCATGAGGCACCTGTCGCGGGCCTCGTCACGCCGTTTAATGACGATCTGGATGACGAAGCTTTTCCCCCAGTCCATCAGGCCACATCATTTTTTACCCTTATCTAATGCAGCGGCGTCATTACGCGGGTTGCAGTATTTCCCGAGGGGGTGATTTCTAGTTTCATGAATTTCCACAGCAAGGACTCTTTAGCGGGGTCCGAATAGCTTCACACTTTACACCAAATAAACATCAACAGTTCATGATGTCAAGGATTTATTTATTATTTAGGTTGTGTGGACATTTTAGGATAATACACAGCATTCCGGAATGCTGAATTTTGTTATTATAGTGTACCTAGTATTTTTTAGAACTCTCTGGATTTTAAACGTTAATTCTTATTACGATCTCTAAGGCTACTGTTGTAATGGTGCAATGAAAAATCTCTTTAGCCTGTCATCGAATATGTCGATATCCATTTGCAATTTATAAGTACTGTGGTTGATATAATTAGCCCTAATATGACCCCGCTTGGCCATGCAACTTGACTGTCAGTTTAGCTAACTCGTAGCTGTTTGTTGATCCTCTCAGCACAGTATTGTTGTGGGTGTGAGCGTGTGGGGCGGTGGTGACAGAGAGCATATGTTGGCGCGGTAGAGGCAAGAGCAAGGGTTGCCGCGGTGGCGGGAACTCACAGATGGTCCTGGGCTCAGAACCAATTACTACTGCGATGTTTGTCTGTTTACGGCCAATCACTCACTTTAATCCTCTGTTCCAGGTTCATCAACGCTCGGCGGCGGATAGTACAGCCAATGATCGACCAGAGCAATCGAGCTGGTAAGTCTACTCCAGAAACACCCATAGCTATGTCTGGTCTGAGATAATTGGTATTTAGGTTTAATCCGATAGATATATTGTTTTTGAAGGCATTTACAGAAATTCAATACATTCTTAGTCAATAGCAATTAATTAAAATATTAAATTCTATCTATTATTCCTTGAATAAATAATTTATAACCTATGGTTAAAACCACCGTTGGCTAACACCACGAATTTGTAAATTACTTTTTCACATACTATACTTTAAAGTGTTGGTGAGAATGTTTGGTACTGCTGCTGTCTTGAGTGGAAAGTGGCACAGTTCGGTAATGCATGCCGTAGTCCCCCAGGACCCAGCCCTACCCCAGCACATATATCTCCTCAGGGCTGCGAGAGCGCCCAATCCATCACCCAGACAATCGCCCGGCGCGCGGCGCAGCGCCCGAATTGGATAACTGAATTCGCCGGAACCGATGTCGTTAACATCTCGGATCCAATCTACTCCGGCTCTTGTATATTAAAATCTGACGCGACCCCTGCCTGACTGTACTCTAGCATGTCGCACTTGGATAAGTGTGTACGACACCCACTACTGAACGTTCCGCGCACAACTTGACATATACAACCTACAAAGAGTCCAATGTGTATGCATCCTGTTTGGCAAACAGCTAAGTGTATTTAGAAAAGAATCATGTTATCGGGTCAGAGAGTGTAATATAAATAATAATTCATGCTACGCTTTAGTGACCATTGGTTTTGCAAAAGGTTCCTTTAACAGAAATTTGAGTGTCGTATACTGTACTATCAATTACTACATATTTAATTGTCAAATAATAACGGAACCCTACTCTAAAAAAATATAGAGAAGTAAAAAAGACACATAAGTGAAAACGTGAAACTGCAAAGAAAACAATAAAAATTATTTAAAGCGAAGTAATGTTGTGACAACCATTATCTGGCGTTGTCATCGATGACAATCGTTGCAGCGTCAAATGAGCAAAGCTCTAGCTCGCCGTCACTGTCACTGTCACTGTCGTTGACAACTACTGTGTCAAACTACCAGCACTAACTCGCCTCTTCTTGTTACATCAACACACTTGACTGTAGGTTGTGATTGTCAAATGAGCAAAGCTCTAGCTCGCTGTCACTGTCACTGTCGTTGACAACTACTGTGTCAAACTACAACAGTACCTCGGTTCATCTTGTCACCGCAACACACTTGACTGTAGGTTGTGATTGTCAAATGAGCAAAGCTCTAGCTCGCCGTCACTGTCACTGTCACTGTCGTTGACAACTACTGTGTCAAACTACCAACACTAACTCGCCTCTTCTTGTTACCTCAACACACTTGACTGTAGGTTGTGATTGTCAAATGAGCAAAGCTCTAGCTCGCCGTCACTGTCACTGTCACTGTCGTTGACAACTACTGTGTCAAACTACCAACACTAACTCGCCTCTTCTTGTTACCTCAACACACTTGACTGTAGGTTGTGATTGTCAAATGAGCAAAGCTCTAGCTCGCCGTCACTGTCACTGTCGTTGACAGCTACTGTGTCAAACTACCAACACTTAACTCGCCTCATCTTATCACTGCAACACACTTGACTGTAGGTTGTGATTGTCAAATGAGCAAAGCTCTAGCTCGCCGTCACTGTCACTGTCGTTGACAGCTACTGTGTCAAACTACCAACACTTAACTCGCCTCATCTTATCACTGCAACACACTTGACTGTAGGTTGTGATTGTCAAATGAGCAAAGCTCTAGCTCGCCGTCACTGTCACTGTCGTTGACAGCTACTGTGTCAAACTACCAACACTTAACTCGCCTCATCTTATCACTGCAACACACTTGACTGTAGGTTGTGATTGTCAAATGAGCAAAGCTCTAGCTCGCCGTCACTGTCACTGTCGTTGACAACTACTGTGTCAAACTACCAACACTTAACTCGCCTCATCTTATCACTGCAACACACTTGACTGTAGGTTGTGATTGTCAAATGAGCAAAGCTCTAGCTCGCCGTCACTGTCACTGTCGTTGACAGCTACTGTGTCAAACTACCAACACTTAACTCGCCTCATCTTATCACTGCAACACACTTGACTGTAGGTTGTGATTGTCCAATGAGCAAAGCTCTAGCTCGCCGTCACTGTCACTGTCGTTGACAGCTACTGTGTCAAACTACCAACACTTAACTCGCCTCATCTTATCACTGCAACACACTTGACTGTAGGTTGTGATTGTCAAATGAGCAAAGCTCTAGCTCGCCGTCACTGTCACTGTCGTTGACAGCTACTGTGTCAAACTACCAACAGCACCAACACTACCTCGCCTCATGTACCACTACCTTGTTTTCGTAACTTAATTGCTGATTGAACATCTTGAGTGTTTCCCTTGCAAAAGCTTTATCTTGAGGCGAAGAACTGTTCCTTTGCCGTAGCATGCTGTACAATCACCCTATATCTGGTAATCTGAGGCTGGGCTATTATATTATTAGGTATATTATTATTATAGTATTATACTATTAGTGTATTAGGTCCAATATCGGTGTAAACACCACAGTTCTGTGGAAAGCGGAGAGTGAGCTTTGTTCTATGAAAGTGGGCAGAAAGAAAGGGTATTGATCAGGGCTACAGCGGAGAAGGGCGGCCTGACGTCGAGCGATTTATAACATCGGCCCGCGAGTGGAAAAGTGTGTTTGCGGTGCCAATACGGCCAGCTCGCCGACACTATATTTCAATTCACCACCGTAGCTGTATCAGCTCCACCGTCGAGTTTGAATTGTATTAATGACCTTCTTGGCCCGTTTTCCACATTTTCTGGACAGCTTCTGGAATTGATTGTGTCGACGCCTCCGCTAACGTAATGGGGCGATGACTTCTGACGCTTGTTATCGTTTATAAAGACAATTTAATTGATTTGTAACGAATTCAATCGTTTGATAAAAATTAATGATATTCCTTCACGAGAGTCTTTTTGTTTTAAGTCTCCCATATCAGTAAAGTAATATAAATTGTAGTAATTATTGAATGTAAAATTTCGAAAATTTCTAAATATTTGCTTTAAATATTCTCACATCTATCAACTGCAATTCCTTTGAGTATATGCCCTACAATCCAAGGCTCTAGTCGTCGATATGTAGAGAGGTAGAGGTCAAGTCGTATTTTCTGATCAGAGTTGCACGGACGGCTTCCTGAGGGACCACAATGGTCCGGAAGACATCCCCTCGCGCTATTGGGCAGGGCCAGCCAGCAACGGACGTTGTATTACCCCATCTACATACGACCCCTTATACGACCATCACCACACGACTACTTCCCTCCCTCTCTGTGTGATCCTGTTGACTTGCCAAGAATCCAATTCTCGATGGACGTAATTTATCTCAGACCAGACATCAAACTATTTTAGATTAAGTATACAGGTTTTTACATTTTTATGTTAATGTTTGAAGAGTGTTTAAAAAACTGAGGATAGAATTTAAAACGAAGTTTCTAGATTTACATTTTGTTTGTTTAATTGTGTAATTTGGCGTGCCTGTAGGATAACTGCAAGTGCAATTTGTTATTGGTAAAAAAAAAGTTAAAATTATCAATGTATAGGCCTTCTATAAACAATATTTGCAAACACCAGATACCATTTCTCCTAGACTGAGGAGTTTAGTAACTAATTTCCTCCACAATTTAATTGCTGCGGACTCGATGCACGTTTGACGGGTGGAAATCTGTTTCACAACAATGAAGTTGTAGAACTGTCAGGTTCTTGACCCTGTCGTGTTATCCTCTGGCTGGAGAGATGGTATCTGGTAGGCGATGGCCCCGCGCCGGCGGGGAGTCGCAGCGTCCGCGAGCGAGCTCTGAGCAGGAATGTGACCCCCTGATAGTGTTTTCTCCGCACGCAGGACCCAGTGGGGCGTACTCCCCGGACGGTGCGATGGCGGGGTACATGATGGACGGTCAGGCGCAGATGATGCATCGAGGACCTGGGGACCCTGCGTTCCACAACGAGTACCACTACCCGCCCCAGTACTACGGCCACCATCTGTAGTCCACTCCTGGTATGTATACGTCAACAATGAGATCAAACACTAACATAAGTAATGAGGGCTGTACAGTGTACATATTTCCTTGTGTATCGGGAACTTCCATGTTTCCCTGCTACTTTTAGCTGGTAAATGTACAGTACTATTAGAACCCGAGCAATTAACATTTCTCAAACTTGGACATATTTTAATTTCCCTTGCTTTAAACATACACAATTTTTTTATTTTTCAAGTTGCAATGGGAAACTTCGTGTGTTGTTAGACCTTAGCTATCGGGTTTCTAAAGGCCCTAAACCCCCTCAATTCAACATTCAATAAAAGCAATCCACTGTAGTAGTTCAGGACGGATGTATAATTGTGTAAACTACCAGACATTGCGCGTACTAACATGAGCATTTCTGTGTGTTTTTAAACAGAATATAATACAGGATGTCGGGGAACAAAGCTTTTTTTATAGGAGCACTTTTGTTGCTCAACGTCATTCATCCAAATTAGCCTAAATTAAATATTTTATCTGATATCTGTTTTTGTAATCAACATACCAAATCTAAAGACCAATGTTGACGAAACGTTCAATAGAATGACGTTTTAAGTAAGTGAGTTAAAATTAGATTTTGTCGAAGAAATTGTTTTATATTTACTGATGAATTCAGGAGTGATTCGTCCCCTTTACTACATAAATAATATAGCAAACTAAATCAATGGATTAAACATATTCCTGAAACATACGTCTAATATATACTATATATATCGTATACGTATATGTATACTGTAGAATGTAGTACATTTACTGTACATAACATTTATGGACCAGCTAAACTATTGCATTTCTTCGATCTCGTACTTTGTACAAAAAGTAGAGCACACATCTTAAAAAATACCTAAAATAAGAGTTTAACCTTTACTCGACATTAGTGCACTCAAATGTCACCGATACTATATACTCATTAAACAGGCTTCCCATTTTCCAATAAAATGAACAGTATACTTACTTTAACTAACTGGAGAAAGTCAATTACTTATACTGAGTGTTTATAATACTTATTTAGACAAACCCTATTTTGACAAACATATATTTTACGATATGCTAATTAGCCTAAACAATTAATTAATTGTATATTTAAATTTAATATATATATTATTTGATTTAATAGTATATTTCATCACTAGGGCGTAAAGTGGCTCTTTTCGACTCGAATTCAAGTTTTTTTTCGGTTGAGGCGACGCTGAGTTCGGAAAATGACCCTAGAGTTATATTGTACCATTGTTTAATGGAATTAAATTAATAAACGTAAAAAATACTTTTCAGGTTAAGACAACTTCTCAAAACGATTTCCAACCTGTTTTTAATTTTTCTAATGCAAATAAGCATCAGTTTAGTAATTGATTCAATTATTACGATTGCGTTAGTGTACATTATGTACTATCCATAAGTCGAACTATTGACAAGAGAGCTACAATAAGCTACAACCGATTAAAACACGATGTATAATTTCTACATATGCAAATGATTTCAATCGAAGTATACAATTGAGTAACAGCTGATTTTACTCTCTAGGGACTGAAAAGGCTTTTTACTCCCTAGGCAGTAAAAGAGCTGTTTAAAACCCGCAACTCAGGTATTAAAAACATCTGTTTTTGCTGATCGATCACAAGATCGATATTAAAATGTAGTCAATTAGTGTTTACTACTTGACAGTATGCTACATACAGTAATTGTTTGTTGTCCTGTTGCAGGTGTCTCGCTCTAGTGCGGTGGTGCTTTTAACTGTGTGATATAAACTAAGTTGGACTTCCGCCCCTCAACCTCCTCGCCTTCTGGCGTCTCTCATGATCTCTTGTGGCCGCGACAGACTTACGAGTGAGCTAGTGCCAGTGCAATCGACCGAGGACCTTTTATAAAGTGTAATCGATTCTAGAAATAAATTAACGCGTTTTTAATAAAATGTTTCAATATGTGTTATAATATTGTACAGTGTAGCAATGTGTAATATACATTAAGTTTGTAATAAGTTGTGTGTATTTTTGTTGATTTTCTGAATGTATCGCCGTACCGTCTAGTGGGCGTCCAGGGTAGAACTGATACGTGTCTAGCCAGTGTTCTTGTTGTTTATTTTTTATTATTAATCACTGTTTTCACGTACAGTACGCACTCTGAGAGCCCGAGGTCGTGTCCGCCGGTGCCGATGTCGCCGCCCGCCGCAAGCAAGCAGTTACTATTCCTTATTATTTTTTACCTCGAATTTCGAAGCGAATTTAGCCGCCACTCTTGCTTATTCGCGCTGTGCGTGCTATACGGAGAAACTAAATCACCAATTAATTATTACTGAGCAACAATTGGTCTACTGAGTGATAATCGTGATCACATTCAGTACTGAGTAAAATAAATCGCGATATTCCATACAAATACAAATATCTCTAAAAGACACCAATATCTGAGATTGGTCTTATTCGAAATGTTAAACAATTTATTAAAGTAGCGTTATCAACATTAAACGTTTATAGGTCTAGTAAGTCAATATAACTTTGAAGCGTTAAAGAATAAATTTCTCAGTGGTTGTTAAACAAAATGATATGCAAATTTAATGAATTACAGTAATTGTCAATGAATGTTCCTGTCATGAGCAGTGGCGTGGCGGCTCCTGTGTGTGTGAATGTTCTGAGTGTATTCTAGTCGCGCGGCTCGGCGAGATCGGCCCAGCGAACACATCCTCGTTATACATATGTAATATATATATAGTACTGTAGAACCGTGTTATAAGACTTCCGGGTGAGTGATTGAGACGAATGCGACCCCTTGTGTTCAAGTCCTTGCTTACAGTCTTGTTCCTTTAAGCCGTGCGAGGTTCCGAATTTAAATTATTACTATAGTTAATTTATTCCGGAACGCGATAGATTGTATTTATGTTTCCTTACGATAGGGTTCGCTCATGGCTCCGCATCACCATTATGTTGTTATCTAGGTTTACGGCCTGTTTAAGATAGTTTTATCGTTCGCGATGTCACGATTAGGTTGTTAACGCTCTCGGTTTTGTTACTAGTTTTTGTTCGGTCTTTGAAACACGTTCGGGGAACTGACCCGATTGAAATAGACTGTTAATCGAAAAATATTAATTTTGTTGAACGAAAAGAGCGAGTGTGTCTATTTCGAATTCGCCGTGCAGGTTATTTTAGAACCCGTTCTTGTAAGGAAACTACCGATGTATACAAACCACTTCCAAAAATAATCTTATTATTAAATTAGAACTAATGTACTGTATACTATTTGAAATTAAATATTTTTGAAAGATTCTACAGTTACGCTTACGATTCTATACGGAGTATACGATGATGCCTACAAACGGTGCTTCACCGACCACCGACCTTACTACACAGATGATATACGTAAGGGGGCAGCCCCACTTTGATACACATGTATACAACATTGTTACTTTAGCTCAGGTCCGGGTTTTGTTTGGCTCAGAGAGTGTATTAGGTACATTCATTATAGATTCGATTGTAAAGATATATTTTGTCACTTGTAATAATTAATTCTAAGTTTACCTAAGTATACCGATTGCAAATGTTTAGGATAGTGGAGAATTTACGCTGAATATATTGTATACCAGTTTAGTGATTGTAAGAAAACGTTGATATGTTATCACTGTGTGAAATTTCAATTATATTTCACGAAAATGTCTTTCACTTTAGACACGAGCCAAGCAAAACTCGACTGAAAATATTTTTTTGGACTATCGCTGCTTTTATTCAAGTATTCTGTGATGCCAGTACAGACAAATATATTTATAATTTTAAGATGGTACTTTTACTACAGATTTACGATATAATATGATGTTTTACACTGATTTCAATCATAGGCATTACTTTTTGTAAATCACCTGAATATAGTTAAATCTGAAAATTATATGTTTTAGTTACCCGTCCATTTTAATTGTATTTTAATCTATATTTTTACCTTAACGTAACAAAAACTCAATTGTTTTCTTACCATCTTTCTGTCATTTTAATCAGGCTAACATTAAACAAATATCACTTATGGACGGCTTGAAATTGTTACCTTAATTTGTAACAAAGAATTATGTTTTTAAAATTCTCCTTGCACTGCAATAAACTGTAAAACGTTGTTTGTAAAGCGAACCTCAACTCTGGAAGTACCGAACAGCCACTCCTTATTGTTTATTAGTTGACGTTTATATAAATATTTTATAGTTTTATGATCAGGAATCACTTTGTTATTGTCGATATGTTTATTTGAGAGTTCGCTGGTTGATATAGCCAGAGTTGTTGTTCGCTATCCAGAGCAATAATTCCAACTCCCATCACCCAGAATACCAGGGAGCTCTCCCGCCTTAACTCGTATACGGTAATTTCCCAACGAAATGGATTATTTATTTGCCTGAACCAATTTGTGCTTGTGAATTTGAACTGTTTAAATGGTTAAGTATTTGGTCCTTGTAAATCTGATACCACTTTTTGAAACGTGAGCATTAAATGCTAAATATCTTGTGTACAATGCTGGTGTTTGATTCCAACCACACCCTGTATCCTCAACGCTTCTACTACCTACTTGATATTGACTTTTGTTGGTATATCAATCCGAAAATATTTATGTTCAAATGTTATGACCAAATTTATGAACGTGAAGAAAACCTAAATTTGCAACAACAACAAAAACTTTATTGATTTGAAAATTAGTTTACACTTAAAAAGGGCTTGTTTATTAAATTACTTACGAAAAAAATAAGATAGTTTATTTTTTAAACCCCAAAAAATAATATATTTTGCCTTATTGCTTTAAGTATATGTACTATTTTTCTTTTGTAATGTAATAAAATCCCTTTACAACTACAAGATCCATAAATAATCAATTACCAATTATTAGCAAATATCAATTTCGTTATTTGTTTAAACAACTTCTTACTTTGATTTTGAATCATTCAAATTTTTTAACTTCAGTTTGTGAATAAGATCATTGTAATTATTGTAAACTAGATAAGGGCAGAAATCCTGTCTCCAAGAGAAGGTAAGTGTAGCGAACGACATAAGTAAAGAAAGAAAATTCATAAAGCAGTTATGTATTGGACATATTGAGTAAGTTACGACAGAACATAAGAAAATATTGGAATCGAAGAGAGCTTAAAAGTAAAAGGGAGATGGAGAGATTTTGTAACGGGCTAATGGCAGTTTTGGCAACACACAGCACAGTGCTATGTAAACAACTTCCACTGCCGCGGGCCAATAAATACTGTGTGGCTTAGCATCTCAAAAACACGATACACGATACAGTATCACCTGCAACTATTCTTGGAATAGATATTTGCGTAGTCCGGAAAATATTGGTATGGGTACACACTTTTACACATTAAATTGATTGTTTTAAAGTGGAAACCCTAAACAACGATAATTTAGCAATAATTTGAATAAACGTTAGTTTTTTTGCCAATCTCCGCATCTCTTTTTGAAAAATTCTAAGGAAGATATTAACAACTCAATACGTATGTTCTTTAGTTGTTTCTGGTTGGTTTTAATAAAATGAATATTTAAAATGACAAACTAAATAAACTTTTAATTCGTAAACTGCAATAAAAAATGAAGTATTTATTTTGTAGACCTTTGGAAAAAAATAACAACTAAAGAATAGAATTACTTGTGTTATTTATGTAGTATAACTCTAATCTTTAATTGGAATGACACTTTAAATGCTATTTTTCATATTGCGTGAAGGTTATTATGAGAATTCTAAATTATAATATTAAAAAACGTGTAGTATGATTTAGATCAGAATAAAGCCCATGTTGATGATCATAACTTTATATGGCACTTAAACCGTATTATAATTTAGGTAAGATCTTGTCATAGTAACGCAATTCTAATTCAAAATGTTCCCTACTAATTCACTGTTGTGTTGAACAAGATCAAGATCAACAATAAGAACAAGGCCGAGCTGAAAATATCGCCCATAAACAATCGCCTGGAAGACAGCGATTTCGCCGCGGAGTTGGTGCCAATTTGTGGGAGATTAATGTACAGCGAACAAAACAACGACGATCTTTTGCCGGTAGCCACTAATGACATTTCGGGAAAAGTACAAAAAAGCACAAAGACAAAAGGAAGTACCATACACAGAACGCACAATAAAAATAGCCACCAACCCTCTCCGACCCTTTGTGTCGGATTAAAAAACGTCAGGGGAAAATAGGAATCATGATGTATAAAGCGAAGTGGAAGTAGGGGAAGGGGGGAGACAAATGAGAGTGCCGCTAGTGGCGCTGGCGTCGGGGCGCGCTCTGACGTCATTTGTCACTGTCCGTCGTCATGGCAACGCTGGACATTGTCTTGAGTCACAACTGTGCAGTGAGCAGTAGCAGTAGATACAGTACACACTGCATTGTATACAGCTGTTCGTCGTCATGGCAACGCTGGACATTGTCTTGAGTCACAACTGTGCAGTGAGCAGTGAGCAGGAGATACAGTACACACTGCATTGCATACAGCTCTCCGTCGTCATGGAAACGCTGGAGATTGTCTTGAGTCACAACTGTGCAGTGAGCAGTGAGCAGGAGATACAGTACACACTGCATTGTATACAGCTGTTCGTCATCATGGCAACGCTGGACATTGTCTTGAGTCACAACTGTGCAGTGAGCAGTGAGCAGGAGATACAGTACACACTGCATTGCATACAGCTCTCCGTCGTCATGGAAACGCTGGAGATTGTCTTGAGTTACAACTGTGCAGTGAGCAGTAGAATGACAGTAGACATGGTACTCAATGCAATGTATACACAGTGAGCTGTCCGTCGTCATGGCAACGCTGGACATTGTCTTGAGTCACAACTGTGCAGTGAGCTGTAGCAGTAGATACAGCACACACTGCATTGCACACAGCTCTCCGTCGTCATGGAAACGCTGGAGATTGTCTTGAGCTACAACTGTGCAGTGAGCAGTAGACACGGTACTCAATGCAATCTTGCAATGTATACATAGTGAGCTGTCCGTCGTCATGACAACGCTGGACATCATCTTGAGTAACAACTGTGCAGTGAGCAGTAGCAAGTAGATACAGCACACACTGCATTGCATACAGCTCTCCATCGTCATGGAAACGCTGGAGATTGTCTTGAGTCACAACTATGCAGTGAGCAGTAGCAGAAGATTTCTGCACCGTACAATTATCTGTTAAAAGGATATATATTACAAACCAGATCAAAAATATAGAATTCTAAATCATGAAAATCACAATCGCCCTCATAATTTGCACAGTGGACTGTAAATATTTAACTACTCCAATAAAAGGTCTTTTCTCATAGAACTTACGAGTTTGTGGGTATTTTGCTGTGACAAGACTCCAACTTTGCGAGAACCTTTGCTTCAATATGGCCTCGCCAGTATCAATGTCTTGAGTTGTAACAAGTTACATCAACAAACAAGCTACAGCCGAGTGGCCAAGTGGCCGGTGAAAGGCCCGCGAATGCTTGTGAAGGCCACACTGGCCGAGGCCACGTCGCATCTGCATCTGTCACTCACTATACTAATACTGACCTCAGCCGCTTCCGCCAGAAATATGGATAGGTCGATGCATTATTCAACCATTCGGAATATTCTTTACATTATAAAGGAAAATTCGTTCCGCCGCAATAAATATTTGAACGGCATAAATTATTTTCGCGGTGGTCGACGTTTGTTGTCTTATTGATTACAGAAGTATCAAGCACAACAAAGAGAGATACTTATCTGATGGTAAATTATTCATCAGCATCTGACGGGAGGCTGCAGTTGCGCGGGTCGAGAGCCGATTGTGCGTGAACGCATTCAGATGCAGCAGTACCGTCACCGCTCAGACTGCTGCGGTTCTCTGTTGTTGCTACGTTTTTTCTCACTTCGAATTACCAAAACTCAGCCTGCTCGTCACTGTTGTGTCCTCGTGATAACGCATTTGACAGTAAAGAGAATTACTAAACTGGAATTGACTGTGCATCTTTATTTAATGTTTGCATCAGGTTAATTCCTCAAAAGCATTTATTTTTACATATAAGGCATGGACGAAATGCATTACTGCTCCTTAAAATTTTCTTCTTGAAAAATGTACCTCACCATATGTTCATGTTCATGGATGTTCATATGTCTTTTTCCATTAATATCTCATACAACCCTGATCATAGTTAGTTAAAAATCCCTTCTGTTCCATACTGCTGCACTGTTCAATTGTTGTTTGTATTCGTGAAGACGTCGCTACCTCCAGGACGCTGGAATGACATATTGATGTTACATGTTTCTTTTATCCTCATTATAACACCTGTAGCTGTTTTTCCACGTCTAAGCATCACTAAAACTACATAATTCAATCATAAGTCCAAGTTCAAAAAGAGGGGGATTTGAATTGCCCATGGCTAAGGGCAGTTGATACGGGTGAAAACAATTATTTCTCATCACATCCCTATTATTTGCTAAGCGAGCTCTATTATTTTCTTTGCGTGCGCGATCTCTTAGAAAAATTACAATTACTAAAGAAACGTACTATGAAAACACAAAATCTAACGTAAATTATTTTTTCGTTGCATTTTAAATAAATAGCATTACAATATTGTACTTGAATTAACTAAAACATCACCAACTATAACGATAACCCCATTTTTCGTATGGATGTACAAAAAATTGTATCATGGCAATCTGTTTTCATGTAAACAAAACGTAACCTTGAAAAATTTTAGATGATTGTTAACAGAATTCAGCAAGAACTCTGAAATTTCAAAAGCCTATAGGACAAAGGGTTTTCACGGGATACCATCGAAGCCCGCAAAAGGCACATCTAGAGGAGAAGGGCTTTCAATTGATACCCTATATGCCTATAAAAATAAATATTTAGGGGTCGATTTGCTGAATACAAAAGTCCAACAAATCCTTTTAGTAATATGGATTTTATAATATTATAAAGAAGAGTTGGTGTCTGGTGTCTGTGTGTATGTCTGTTTGTACGGGATAAACTCATAAACTACTGGACCGATTAGACTTAAATTTCAAATATATAGCTCCAGGATCGAGGATCAGTTTAGAGCTATTCCCGCATATTGACTTCGGGCTCTGCTCCATGGGCTGCCAAAGTTCTAAGGATTTTAAAGTAAATATTGATTGGTCTCCATGTCAACAACTTACAATGTTTACATTACCATGGACATGTAAATGTAAACAAGCAGATCTGGCAAATTCTTTCTTATATTATACCTAACCTGTATAGCAATGTAATGCTGATCGGTTAGTAAAATTGTTATAAAAAAAACTTTTTTTACAATTCCACACAGCTGATCCAATTATACGAATTATACATCAATATTTTGTACAACCATGTGGTAGGTTTATTTACTCTAAGATCGTGTCATTGACGTGAGAAATAAGTAATATTCTGTAACCGTAGCTGTATCAACCTAGGCTCTGTCCCTGAGTTGTAAAGTTAAGTTTATACAAATTATTTTATCCATAGAGTGTTGTAGAAACCATAAAAAGTTACATTGTTTAC